AGTATTTTTAGTACTTTAATTTTATTTCAGTTAGTTGATAAAGCAATATTTCTAATTTTCATTTAAATTTTTGATGTATTATTTATATTTCAGATTTGCAATAATCTACAATAAGCAGTACTGTTAACCTTCTTTAATCTGGCCTTAAACATCATGAAGTAGTAGTTATTATTCTCAGGTCTTTCATACAAGGTGATGTTGAACTCTTCCAGTGATATCACAAATACATTTAGGCCCTGTGATATGCAAATTATTGTAGCCACTATTTAAAGTTATAGCTCACCAGAAAATAATTTAAATGTGATTCAAAAACCATATGAATATTGGAGATTATTTCAAGACTGATCTTTTCCGTATTGAGAAAGCATCTGGCCAGAAGCTGTCAAGTTCCAAAAAGCCCCATAAAACTAAAAATGTGGATTCCTTCATGAGATGATTGTTTGTTGAGGGTTTGATTTGACATTTGTTGAAATCTGCAATAAACTGACACCAGTTCAGTTTCAGTTCAGAAATGAAATAACAGTTTATAAACTGGCTCGTGGTTTGAGACAGCTGAGGTGTGCGTTGATTTTTTTGTAAGATCTCCTCTGGGTTGATGGACCACAGCAGTGCTCAGGTTCTCTCGGTCATGTAATTATCTGACAGCTCTTGATAGAAATCAGTGACAGCCCGCAGCGGAGTCTATAACAGAGTGCATCTGTGAGAGCGTACGTGAACTCAGCTGCGCAGGTATCAGGACTTTAGATTAACTCCGAGGCGTGATCATTTCTCTGTCACTTACCTCTAGACTGAACGCTTGAAATGTCACGCATCAGATCCCCTCAACTGCCCATTACTACAGTGAGGGAAAAGCCGGTCATATGGAGTGATCTCTATATTCAAGGCTTCAGGACTGCGCAATTTTCAGCCAACTCTATCAAGAAAGTCAGTCATTAGTTTTTGATAAGTTCTAAAGATCAATCAGTACTAGTGTTCGTCATTTCTTAGACTTTGAGGAGCTTCTTATTCGATTAAATTTCAATCTGCTTCTCACACAAAGCTATCATATAGATTCTTTGAAAAGTCGACTTCTGTGTTCAGAGAAAAATGGGTTTGGGACAACATGAAAGTATGGAAGCTTGTTTCCGCCATGGGACAAGTAGTTTATATATTGCAATTCTGATGTTAATTCTCACAATTAACTCTCAAACGCTCTCATAATTGTGAGATGTGAACTCAGATTTGAGAGTATAAACTCGCAATTGCAACGCTTTGATAAAAAATAGTGAGATAAATCAATTGCAAGTACCTTTTTTATTTTTTTGTTCAGTGACGGAAAAAAGCAAGATGAAATATGAACAGAATTGCAAGATGTAAACTTAGAATTCAGAGAAAAAAGTCAGAATTGTGAGATGTAAACTTGCAATTATGAGTTATATTATATATATTAGAATTTGCAATTGCAAGATTAAAACTCGTGATTCTGGGGAAAAAAGTCAGAGCTGTGAAATAAAAAGTGGCAATTACCTATTTTCTTTTTTTTATTCCATTGTTGAAACAATAAAAAAGAGAATTGTGAGATGTAAAATCAGAATCTAGAGGGGGAAAAAAAGTAAAAATTGTGATATAAAAACTCGCAATGCAAGTTTATAACTTGCAATATAAACAAAAATTTTGAGAAAAAAAGGTCAGAATTATGAGATAAAAGTTGTTGTTGTTGTTTTTTTAAATCCTGGGGGGAAAACAAGCTTCTAGAAGAGGGTGAGTAAATAATGAGAGATTTTTCATTTTTGAAGTTTTTAGCCATTTTGACAATGAGGTTCATTACCCACCATAATCTTCACCCACATTAGATCTTGCTTTTAGAAAGAAGTATATATATATATTCATTACTCACAAGGAGATGCAGCACAAACAGTTCATTGGGCACAAACATCCGTTGCATACACAGCTCTTATCACTGTACAGTAGATGTTCACAGCATGTTCACACACAGGTCAATAATAAAAGCTTGTGTAGAGCAAAGCTCCGCCCCTCATTATGTAGTCAAGGTGAAGATTTAAATATCACTCAAGCGCCACTCCAAGTGTAAAGGAAAATATGCAAATGAGCGCATATCCATCAAAGAATGTTTCTCTCTTGGCAGAAAGCTATTAATATTTTTTCATCAGTTGCTGACACTTTAACGTATACATCACCCTCAGATTGCAAATGATTTTTTTTTTCGTGTACGCGTTCTCTCTCCTTATTGACGTGTTATATTTTCTTTGCGCTTGCGTCTTGTTATTGTTCTAAAGTTTCCCTGTCTAGTGTGCATTAGTGCACCCTGATTGAAATTTTACCGACAAACTGAAATATGACTCTGTGTTTAATGGAAAAAATAATTACACATCAGGTGAAACAAAGCATGACTCATAGTTACCGAGGAAAGTGACTGGAGACACGAGCCAGCAACGGGGTCAACGAGCGCACACACACTATCTGCTGAACTACTTAATATCATTTCATAAAGACTCTTGTAACGTTTATCCTATCTTGGACATAGTCAGCACTATGCACTAAAAGTTTGGATTTAACTGGTAGAGGGAAAGTATGTGCTTCTGCATTGCATGTAAGCATTTGTATCTAGCTACATTTATTAAAATTTACTTCTTACTTCTTATTACATTTATTCAGATGTACAATGTGTGGCAGAACCACACTTTTTATATGAATGCCTGCGACCATGTTGCAGTTGGGTTGCAGTTCATATGCAGTTGATTAATGCATCCTAAAGCTAAAGAAATTCCAAATGTACAGGTGTGCAGAGATGTGCACGTCTATTTTTTAATCATTATGAAAACCATCAAGTCTAAAATCTCAGCTGCGCTTCAGCTCTCACACTGACTGCCATTATTCTGAGTCTGTTACTGACTTTCATGGCATTGCTTCTAATTAGTCCTGAAACAAGAGACGCTTTAAGGTCCAGATGGCAGTATTATCTGATATTTTCCTAAAACGGCTGCAGTACTTCTTCAATGTTAGTCTTGATATTTTTAATTAAAATGGCTTGTCAGAAAGACAATCTGAGCTAAATTGATGTTATACAAGATACAATTAATAAAATTTCCCTGACGTTCCTATTAATTACTCAGAGTGGGAACACTTGTTATTGACTCAAAGATCAAGTCTGACTGAAAGCCTTATCAAACATTCCTGTGTAATTTTCTGTTTGATAAGAAAATTAGCATGCTTCTCGTTTGCTCTGGTAGATTCTACATGACACACTTGGATGTTTTTTACACCTTGTTCTATGACCTGAGACAGAATTTGCACCTGCATTTTGTGACAAATCTGACAGAACGTGGCAGTTCAGACAGGCACTATTTGGCTGAGCAAGCAGGAAATCTGTCACATGATATGCTTTATTAAGCAGTGTGCTCCAGGTCCGACATCTACAAAGGTTAAATGGGCGTTAGATTGCCGTACAAGCTCAGTGACTCATGGTGGAGCGGGGTTACATAGGTGATAGTGCTTTCCGTCCATCCATTCATCCCTCCATCCCTCCATCCATCCATCGGTCTATCTATCCATCCATCTATCTATTGCTCTGCCCATCCATCCATCTATCCATCCATCTATCCATCCATCCATCTATCCATCTATCCATCTATCTATCCATCCATCCGTCCGTCCGTCCGTCTGTCTGTCTGTCATCTACTTCTCCATCTATTCATCTATCCGTCTGTCCATCCATCCATCCATCCATCGTTCTGTCATTTCATTGTTCTATCTGTTGATCTATCTAGCATTTTATTGTTCTATTCTATCTGTATGATTCTAAGCTGTATTCAAAGACCCACATTTTACACTTTCAGACTGAAGTCAACAATAAAGTTCATCTTGGCAAATTTCCCTTTACTTTTGTTACCATTACTGATGCTTTGAAATGACTGAATGTGAATCATGCCAATGAAGCTCTTTGAAATTGAGTTGATTGCTTCCTGTCTGCAATGCAATTAGGCGATTATGAGCAGCTATTTACATCTTTAACCAATTGAAGGCAGCATGGTGTGTGGTAGGAGAAGGCAGGCTGGTGTTGGTGTGTGTTAAATGTCTCAGCTGGTTGGTCTTTGGCAGCTGCAGCCATCTTCATTGTCTTTGTCCTTGCTGTGGAGAGCAGCGGCATATATTTACCTCAAATTCTTTTCCTGCGTGACCAACTAACTCTGTCTCTTTTGGCCCGTTTGACTGATCGCTGCTGTCTGTGAATGTCAGGCTCGCCGAGCTTTACATTTATGAAGATTCTTTAATATGTGCTGTGGAAATCACAAATCCAAGGACTCATGCAACAATGGCAATTCCAGGAAGAATGTGACTATGAGCAGCAAATTCTTACTAGCTGGTTTACAAGAGGGATATACTGAAATTTTGGCCACTTCTTTTGCAAAATGAGAATATAGGCAAAAAGGTAACACTTTATTTCGATAAAGTAGACATGTAGTTGCAAATTAATGAGAATTAGTTGACATGTAGTTACAAAGTTACTTATAGTTACAGTTTTTCTCAGTCGCTTTGGTGCATTTCTCACATCACTATTTACATTTGCACAACAGTTAGTTCAACCTCCACAACATTTAGTCATTTGTGCACATCATAGTAGCAGTTTCTCATTCCTTCGAACAAATTGCAAATGCTTTTGGACATGCATCAATTGCTTTCATACAACTCTCTGCTGTTTTATAACATTATCATTTGCTTATGTCATGTCAGTCAAAATTAACTATACTTGTGAATGCTGAATAGTCATTCCATATAAAACTAATAGTCCTCATTTCATTGCTTGAGTCATTACATACAAAAATGTTGAACTAGTTGTCAAAATCTGTCAAGCAAATTTTACAAATTTTTTAAAATCTTTTTTTTCCTGAAAATGTCTCCTAAATTGAACAATTTCTCTCAGGTGAATCTCGACTTTCACTGATGAGAAGGGGTCTGTGAAGCATTAGTTGCAAGCAATGATAAGCCACTTCTCTACAATCACTGTCAGAGCTGAATCCCATAAACCCCCACTTTACAAGCATATATGAACCAAGCAGGACATAGTGTGTACCATTTCTACAATACTGTGACACAGAAATGGAAGGTCAGCCTCGTGGAAGAGGGGTGAGGGTGCGGGGAGGAAGGGGAAGGGGACAAAACAGGGGAAGAGGAAGAAGAGGCCAAGTACATAGGCGGATCCCTGATGAAATCAGGGCTACAATTGTGGATCATGTTGTCAATCACGGCCTCACAATGGCTGAGGCTGGTCGAAGGGTGCAGCCAAATGTTGGGAGAACCACTGTAAATTCAATTATTCAAACATTTCGTCGGGAGAACAGGTGTGTATAAATGGACAGTAATTCAGCACTAAACAATCTGCACTGCACTACTGTCATTGTGTCATACATGAAGCTTGCAGTGGGACAAGAACTTGTCACTGTACATTTTACATTTAGACGTACAGCTTTACTGCATCACACATTTAGTGTATTGTAGTGTACAGTAGTGTTACAGTAAAGATTTGCCATATTTACTGTAATTTTACTCTGCACCACACAGGATTGCAAGACAACCTTGCAGAGGTGGAAGAGGGCCCCTTTTTACTCCGCAACAAGAGGAAGCCATTTGTGCAATGGTGATTGCAAACAATGCCATAAGGTTGAGAGAGATACAAAGTGCTGTTATAGAGGATGACAACATCTTTGGGAATATTGAATCTGTTTCAGTCGCTACAATTGACAGAGTGCTCAGGAGGAATGAAATGCGCATGAAACAATTGTACAATGTGCCATTTGAACGGAACAGCGACAGAGTGAAGGAGCTCCGTCACCAGTATGTACAGGTAAAACATGTATGTGTTCTATGCATATTCTAATGTTCAGTGCTGTAAACTGTTTACTTTGTGTAGTGTCATGCACTACACTTACATGACAGTTCTGTGTATGTGTATTCACAGTGCATACTGTACAATATGTTGTCCAAAATGCATTATGTTACACAGGAAAAGTTGTTATAGTTTTTCTCACTCCCTCTTCTGTAATAAAGCATGTACTGGAGCTGGAGGGCAGGGAACCGCTGCACACATTCATATACCTTGATGAGGCGGGTTTCAATCTGGCAAAAGGTAGAAGACGTGGAAGGAATCGCATTGGACAGAGAGCAACCATTGATGTCCCAGGCCAACGAGGAGGGAATATTACTATGTGTGCAGCCATCTCAGAAAACGGCGTCCTCACCCATATCCCCCGTCTTGGTCCATACAACACACAACATCTGATAGAATGTCTAAAGTGGACTATCGAAATAAAGTGTAACCAAAAATATGAACAGAAATTGCTAGGAAATTGGTTATGGAGTGTTGTATGGAATGATTCGGGTAATTCTGGTTGATGTTAAAGAGCTTATGGTTGAGCCACATGCTGTGTATAATGTAAGTGAAGAAATATACAATGTGATTGATTAACTGCACAAAAATATGACTGATGTCATATGATGATTATATTTCAGTCAAATTGTAAATGCAATTGCCTGTTTACCTTTGCATTTCCTAGTTTTAATGAAGCAATATTTTAATTTGGAGCCTATATTTTTCTGAAGTCAAAACAAGCGAAGAATAAAGTTCTTTTTTTTTTAATCTAGGAATTGTGGTGCATCATGTTTCCAGCCAGCTTCATCTCTGCAATGTGTGCATGATGTATGCATGGGGATTTGGTGTTACCAGAGTGACTGAAAACTGAATTAACCCTCTGGTACTGGAGGTCAGACTCACAGTGGCCCTGGATGACTGTTTGTTTGTGTGGGTGGTTTATTGATGGTTTATTTAACCTGCTATACTTTTGTTTTATGAGGTTTTCCCCACTGCATCTAAAGTTGCCCTGGATATGATGAGGTATTACCCTCTCATCGTCTACCAGACCACAGAGTCAAGGTCAGAAACAAACAAGGATTAGCTCTCTCTCGCTCTCTCTCTCTGTTCCAAAACCTGCTGAACTCCCTTGCTATCTATTTAGGCATCATTCTAACTAAAGTGTTACTTCATAAGTGACAGTTCTTGAATATTCTACATAGGCAAATGTGTTGCAATTAGCATACTGCAAATTCTGAAAACGGTGAAATCACGTTTACTGTTGCTCTGTGCAGATTTCGTGGATGCAATCCAATTATTCCAATAGGAATCTGTGCGATCGGGAATTTTGCATGAGGGTAAAAGATTTCCCCATGCAGGTTTCACTTATTTACAAGTTGGTCACATGAATTTGTGGTGTTGACCAACAAAAAGCTGCTTGGTTTGAAACTGAATTGTGTGAGCTGTGATTCACACACTGTTGACAATAGACAATTGATCTTTTTTTGCTTGCAAAATGTTGCACTAATTTGACTGCACCTTAATGCTAAAATAGCATTTTAAATTCAATTTAATTTTGTAGTAGTCTGTTTTTCAGTTTATTTGTATTTCCAATTATATGTACTTTTAATTTACATTTCGCTTTATCACTTTTTTCCTGAGCTTGTTGCAATGCATTCTGGTCTCCTTGAAGAGTATTGTACGTGCAATTTGGCCAAAAGAAGGAAACAAATGAAAATATAAATCTGAAACAGAAAAAAAAAAAAATTTTTTTTGGTCTTCTAGTTTTGGAGAACCGAAATCATTAACTGAAACAGTGACTTTTAATCAGTCCAAATGGTGTTTATTTTTTGCACATAATGTGAATAAGCTACAAGTAAAAATGTCAGCAGTGTGGATGCTAGGATGGGATGCTAGAATACCAATATGTAAAATTAGCTTTGCTGAAATATTGAGAGGTGTCTCAGTAGCCAAAGAACTTGCTGAATTTATCACGTGAGAACACGACACCTTGAACAGCATAAACAGTGCCCATTACCCACATTTAATTACAGAAACTTTATTTTCAATTCCTGTTTGTTTGTTTTTGTTCCTTCTTTTGGCCAAATTGCGTGCACACATTCTTCAAGGAGACCAGAATGCATTGCAACAAGCTCAGGAAAAAAAAAAGTGATAAAGTGAAATGTAAATTGTGAAATGTAAAAAGTGCTAAATGAAGCATTAATTTAGTAAAAATTTAATTTCAGAGCATTACTACTTGAAATGCTATCTATCTTACTACACTCTAAGAAAAGTACATAAAAATAGAGCACAGAGTGTTAATATAAAGGAATTTTACATATTGATTTTTTCACAGGTGTTTTATGTGTGTTTTGAATTATGCGTTGCGCTGTGTTGTGCTTTAGGGTTAGAGGAAATGTCTGTAAACTTAACAGATAATGTCTTTGCAGAAAATATCCAGTACCTTTTCCATTTTTTTACAATTTTTTTTTCGCCTACAGTGTAGGTTTTGAACGGTCCTGTGTTCCCTTCATCTATGCCACTTCATCACTGCAGCCGCTAATGTTGTTTGTGAGCTTGTATTTTTCTTCTCATTAGCTTTTTGCACATGCAGCAGGAGCACGCTGGGCATGCTCAGTTAATGTAAACATTTCCACTTCTCTGGTCAGCTGCAGGGGCTCCAGCAGTGTGTCTGAATGATTGAACGCTGCTGTTACTTACCTCCCGTGCGCCGTGTATCGGACAAACGGCTATACGCTGCTCTACGCCGCCTTGCCCACCTGTTTCATAATGGGACGTCTTTCAGACACAGATAGAGTGGCATCTTTGGCACGTCGTAAGAAGTGCCGGGAAAATCAGTCAGCGTCTCACTACGTGTTTCATCACCTGAAAGCTCAATGAAGGAAAGTGTGGAAATAAGCGTCAGAGTTTGCCATCACTGTCGCCCACCTCTGCGGAGCATATCAGATCTGCTACACGCTACGCTGCCCAAGAGTGTGTATTTTCTGGAGATGATTGAATCAATACCATTTTGACACGACTTGTTGGAACATGCCTCTTTATTTCACACATTTCCTTCCGTTTGGTCAGGGAACATTTATCAAGGCAGCCGCCTGCTGTCAGCTAATAGAGATTGTTCTTTAGTCAGTGCGTGATAGAGGGCCGCAGGTATGATACATGTTGATCGTTTGTGAAGATATTGACACAGGGCCAAAGAGCAGGACCACACTTCTTATAACCTCACCATTATACACATGAACACACACGATAACAGCTAAGACCCATCTCACAGAAAGGCATGTGGGAATTAGTGCTGGTGGTTTTAATTTTGGGTATGATATGTTTTTTGTTTTTTTTTATATTACCATACTAGTGCGTAGCTGAAACAACTGCTGATCTATTCATTGGCCACAAATCTAATAGTCTTGGACACACACACACACACACACACACACACACACACACACAGGTTTGTTTTTGTGATTAGAAAAAGATTTCTGTTTCATAATAAATGCTGTTATTATTTATTTAATCCTGAACAAATTAGTTTTTTACAAAAACACTGAGCAGCTCAACATTTTAACATTAATAATAAGAAGAAATGTTTCTTGAAATAGTATTAAGAAATAAATTACATTTTAAAACATAATGAAGTACAACATAGTTATTTTAAATTGTAATAATATTTCACAGTAGCTGTTTTTTTTACCAAATGCAGCCTTGGTGAGCATAAAGGATGTCTTTCAAAAGCATTAGAAAAACCCCAAACTTTTGAACAGTAGCAGTATGTGTGTATATATATATATATATATATATATATATATATATAATCCATGAATCATCTTGTGATGTAGAAATGTTATGTAGAAACAATTTTCTAAATTTTCAGAAATTGCTATATTTCACAAATGATTACAAAGAAACAGCAAGTAACACAAAGTAGAAAAACTGAAATGGTATTTTCTTCTAAAACACACTCCAATAATTTTTGTTTTATATACATCCTTGATTTAGTTTTTTTTTTGCAGGTTATAGTGCAATATACGGAGATGGACCATGAGTTAAACATATTTAAAAGTCTGCAAATTTTAGGCAAACTAGGTCATAAATGCCGCTAAAAAAAATGAAACCCACCAAAATAAAAGCTTGAAGAAATTAAAACAGAAATATATTACTATTGTACAGCAGATTATACTTCTCAAAGTAATAATAATGATAATGCAAATTATTAAAAGAAAATTAGGGATTATTAGACAATATCACAATTTTTCATTCATGTTTTAATTTAAACTGTAAACACAACAGTATCTGTTGTGGCAGTCAATCAATCAATCAATCAAATTAAGTATTGCATTTTAATTTGATTACATTTTAAAAGGTGACTTAAATTGTTAAAATTTTTATATTGATTTTATTACCACCATTTTTTATATTTAATTTGTAAGTGACATTATAACGTTTACCGTGAAAATATATAGTATTATACATATTCTGTTACATATATAGTATTATATATTTTCTCATATCAAATGTGTTTGATTTTAGATTAATTGAAATATAAATATCATCATACAGCTAAGCAAAATAAGATGCAATTATAATTGATTTTTTTTTTGTAGTGAAATATAGTTTAATAATTATAGAATAGTACATGCATATTATCATAGCTATTAGTTAATATAGTGACAGAGGCCGACCGAGTGACTGAAACACAGGCAGCTGCACAGGTGTAGCAGGCAGTCGTGAACAGACGGCTTTGTAGCACATCTGGGAGAAAATGCAAATAAAAAACAGTGGAAGAGGGCAAAAACAAATGACAGATTCCTCACCCTGCACAGGTCTGATAGGAGCAGCTCTCCCGGCTCCCCTCGCCCATGACTTAACGCCTAATCCTATGTGTAAGTTATTATTTATCTTTCACAAAAGTTTGTCAAAGGTAGGCTTTGATTTTTTTCCTCCCCGGCCTGATTTTCCCCCGGTGGCCGGCTCTGCACCGGCACAGACACATAATTTATGAGCTACCCGCTTTCTCCTGACACATTATTAAAAGCAGAATTAGTTTTTTGCCTGGGATCTGTCCGCTGGGAATAGGGAGGGCTGTGCTGAGAGCAGAGGAGTCCAGCGTGGGGGTTCGTCTGTGAGCAAAGGGGCTGTGATGGGCGTCAGGCCGCTAATGAACAGAACGCGTGGTGGCAGCCATCATGCGGCGGTCAAAGATGCATCCTGTGCTCTGGGAAAAGGTTAACCTCCTGTACGTTAAGACCTTTATTGGATTGTTTAGAAGCATGATGTTGTTGTCATGGACTTCTTGGGAAACACACACACACAGACACACATGTTCAGGTTCAGAAGAACAAGCAAGTGTGTGTGTGTGTGTGTGTGTGAGATAGAGAGAGAGAGAGAGAGAGAGAGAGAGTGTGTGGGAGGGTGGGAATAAT